CAGATTATAGTAACAACGCATACAACTATGATGACAACGCATCTAATCATAGTGACAACGCATGCGACTATAGTGACGACGCATCTGACTATCGTGTGATTACTGCAAACAGTATAGCTAGTAGTATTTTCTTTTAAGGAGGTCTATAGTCTTTTTAACACTATAATGCTTTTTTATAAGGTTATTATAGTTCTTTATTAGAATGTTTTAACATAAGGCTTTAGTATCTAGAATCTACACTTTTTTATTCCTGCGCAGGACACTTATAGAGTTATGCTTCTAAAATAGGGTGCTTTTTTTACCTTACCTACCTTTCTTTCTATTAAGAGTGTATTTAACTAATAGGCTATATTATTTTCCTACACTTACTTAATGTACTTAGAGAGACATTTTAAAACTTTTAAAGTATAGGCGTTTTTATCTTACATAGCTATAATAGTAAGATAGTTTAGCAATAACATCTTATAAATATAAGGGTAATAAAGAAACTCTTTTATAACATCTTAGGTCTATTGTTGCATTATAGGTTCCCTATAAGAGACCTATAGCGCTTTAGGATTAACTGCCCTATAACTGCTATAGTCTATAGAAACAACAGGTTAGGTTAATAGAGGCGTACCTCTAATAGTTAACATTATATTAGGTAGATTTATGTGTTCCCTAGGTATAGTACAGCACCTTGCTAGGTCGCTGTTAGGAGAAGTTATACTACACGCTGCCTAACTAGTGTAATAAGCTGTAGATGTTTAAATTATCTACACTTAAAGCTTTTACTATAAAGTTAAAAGTATTATGTCTTACAGTAATTTTACTTCTTTTAAGAAGAACTTTTTTATATAATTAGGTCTTCTAGATAGTATGTTAGCTAGGTTTTTTAGACCTAGCTTATATTTAATCTTAAAATTAAACTGCGCTAGCTTTTTTACTTAGTAGGCTTACTTAAGGAAGAGCTTCTTTGTTATTATAAAATAGCGTAGATTGTTGTAATTAGAGAGTACCTAGATTATACTTAAGGTGTACTTTAGGTAGTGCCTTTAATATTTAAAGCTCTTTATAATTACGCATAACTCTTTATTATGCGTATACTAACAGAGTTATAAGCTGCTTAGCTTACAGCTTTAGAAGGCTATAGGCCTTTAGTAGTAATTTACTACTAGCTTAGAGAACTAAGGCTAGAGGAGTATTACTGCTATAGTAAACTTAAAAGTGTTTATAATAATTATTACTAGCTTTAATAAATTAAAGTGCTAAAAAACTAAAGCATTTATAAATTTTAACTAAAAAGTTAGGAAGGCGTTGTAGGCCTTTTTAGGCTAGAACTATTTCTAGTACTACTTTATAAGACTCTTATAATTTTGCTTTACCTTCTTTTTCTTCTTTTTTAAGTAAAGGCCTCTATAGAGTAGACTTAGAGCTTGCGCAGCTGTTTTATAATCTACTAGTAAGTGTATAATTTTTAAGTAATTATAGACAAATCTTTAATAAAAGTTTATAAAGCCTAGAAATACTTAGATGTTTTTAAAGCTCTCTAGCTTAGGCTATTCTTTAATTATCTAGACATACAATAAGTCTATTACTACACCTTCTAGTGTAACTATAAAGCCTAAGAATTTAACAGCCTTTGTCTTAAAAAAACATTTAGATGCCTTATAGTATAGTCTTTATTCTACTAGCTAATTAAAAACTATAAAGATATGCTACTTATAGTTCTTTTTATCTTTAAAGTAAATAAGAATGTTGTTTAAGTAGATAACATAGGTCCTATCTAACAAGCTTTCTAAAGCCCTATAAATATAGAACTAAAAGGTGGCTAGAGCATTAGCTAGGCTAAAAGGCATAATAAAGTACTTAAAATACTTATACTGTGTTTTAAAAGTAGTCTTCTACTTATCCCCTTTTTTAATGCAAAGCCTATAGTAGGTGTTATAAAAGTTAAGCTTTATAAAAACTTTAGCTTTTAATAAGTAATCTAACATCTTACTTATAAATAAAATAAAGTATTAGTTTTTAATTATAATTTTTATTAAAACTTTAATAGTTAACATAAAGTTATAGTGTCCTATCTAGTTTTAGAACAAAGAGAATAAAAGCACCTGTAGGTGACCTGTTTAGGCGTATCTAACCCTTCTTCTAGGCTGTATTAAGGTATTCCTGCAGGATATCTAGTTTATAGTAGGAGAGGTTATAGATAGGGAGGTTTAGAATCTTTTTTCTTTTCTTAATTTTTATAGCATAATTATGCTTACTATTTAGCCTAAAGATATTTATATAATGTTTGCTAAAAGCGTACTACTAAAAGTAAAACTTAAAGGGAACATGTGTAAGTTTTTTAAAGTCTAGAGCGTTATTAGCATTATTAGTGCTTAGATACCTATTGCTGTTATTAGAAAGTACCTAGGCAACGCCTACAGGCAGTGTAGCCTAGCAGTAGCCTTTATTATAGATACTAGCTAATATATAATAAGCTATAGCTTTAAGAAGCTATAAAAGCTTTAAAAACATTTTAACACACTTTTAAAGATGCTTTTAGATCTTAAGTATGTAGTTTTTTAACTAGAGTAGCCTTTAATAATAAAAGTACTCTATGTTCTACACTACATTGCTACTAGGCCTAAGAGCTTGTAGGGCAGGTTTAGAGTGTCCCTAAAGCAGTTCCTCTAGAAGGGCTTTCTTCCTAACATTATTGCTTATTAGTTAGATAGTATAAGAGGTAAAGTAAAGCATGTATGTAGTCTTTTTAAAACTACAGTTTTTTAAGAGCTTCTTAATAAGTACTAACTAAATTTTACTATTATTACTTTTCTACTACTTAAATATACTATCTTTAAAATAAATTTTAAAGTTAGCTTCTTGCAGCTAAAAGTACTTTAAAATTAAGTTATAACTTAAGAAATTAGCTAACTAAAATCTCTAAGAGCTAACTTCTTTATTAGTACCCCTACTGTCTATGTAGATAAGGGAAAGATTATATAGTAATTCTAATTCTAATTAGTAATTATTAATAAAGCTTACATTAGGCTTTTTATAGTAGTGCTTATATAAAAAGCTATATTTCTAAATAACGCTAGTGTTTATTAGGTTTAACTTAGCACTTATGTTATAAAGGCTGTAGAGAATAGTTAATCTACTGTTAAAAAGTTTCAGCTGCACTTTAACTATAATGTAGAGCTGTTTACTATTTAATTTAGGCTCTAGTTACAGGTGTGTAAGATTTACAACTAAGGCTTCTTTTTTTTATACTAACGTACTTTATAGGCAAGTTGCTTACACACCTAAGTTGCTTACTTTTACTAAGACCTTACTACACTACTCTTTCTACACTAATGCATTTCTAATAACACTACTTAAACATGTTAAAAAAATGTTAGATGTAGCTTATACTTTAAGCTTTTAAATAAAACATAATACTTTTTAAGCAACACACTGCAGCTATTTATAGAGTCTTTTAAAAAATAATAAGTAACTAACACACTAGATAACCTTTCTAAGCTAATTATATAGCTAACTTATAAAAGCTAAATAATAATAAAAAGTAAGTAATTATTTAGCACATACTTAAGCTAGATACGCAAGGATTTCCTCTCTAGCTAGTAGCTGTAGCTAATATAGCTAATTTTTTACACACTAAGTGTAATATAAGCTATATTAGTATAAACTAGCTTAATATATTTATTAAGTATTACTTAAAGCTTAAAGTAAAGTTTAAGTGTAAGTATAACTATAAAAAAGCTTTTTATAAAATTTTTATAGTAATTTAAAGCTAGTTTAACTTTATAAAGAATATTAAAGCTAAGTATAGCATCTAGAATAATAATATGTACAACTTTAATAAAATAAGGTTTATAATAGGCTAAATATCTACTAAAGTAGTTATTATAAGTTTAGAGAGACAAGAATAGCTAAAAGCAGTCTAGCTAGGTAACTAGAAGTAGACAACAGCTATTTAAAGCATTAATGCTAAAAAGTAAGCTATTTTACTTTTTATTATTTTTTAAAGTAGTAACTACTTTTTAAACTAGTATAAAAAAATCTACTTTAAAATTAAGTTATTATAATTTCTAAGTGTAGCTAGACTACTAATTAGCTTAGTCTATACTAGTTAAAGCACTTTAATATGTATATAAAAAAGTGTACTATTAGCAGCTACTATTTACTAGTTATTAATAGCTATAAAAGCTATAACTTACTTTATTTTTAGTAATACTATAAAAATAATAAGATTATTACTATTTATATACTTTTTTACTTATTACACTTTTTATAGCTACTCGGGCCCCAACGGGTTGACTAATCAACTTTTTGGAACAAAAAGGCCCGCGCGCAGCGCGGGCCTGCAGGCTTAACAATTATACCCAGCTTAACAATTAATTAATTAAATCCTTTTAAAAACGTGTTAATTTAACCTGCTAATTAAGCTCTATTCACCTTTAATGCCTCCTAATTAATCTGCAGACTATAGAGCTACTGCAGCTTGTATTAAGCATGCAGTTGCAGAGCTTCTGCAGCATGAAAATCTAAATCTAGCGTTGTACGCCCGCGTTAACAACCTACCCTACCAGCAACTTAAACAGGCCTACTAAGGTAGGCGCAATTAATCCACGCATTAAAAAACAAACTAAGTCCTTATAAGTAATTAAAAAGTCACGCTAAAGCTGTTTATTAATTATATTAATAATATTAGCTTTAGTGTTTAACATAAGCTTGTACAGAGCACAGCAAACGCGCTGCTCGCGTACAATAGAGATAGAGAGCCTCCTACAGTAGGCAGGAAATAGCCTACTAATTAGCTTAAAAGACACCCATAATTTGCGCAATAGAAACAAAAGCCTATTAAAGTTACCTAAAAGCTTACTTAGCAGCCTGCTGCTGTTTTAGAGTAGTTTAATAGCTTTAAAAAAAAGGTTAATAAGCATAAAATTATACCTTAAGATATTTAGAATTTTAATAAATCTAGTATAAAAATTAGTGTTGCAAAGAGTTAATATGTGTACACTAAACATAGGTCTCTTTGCTATATACCTTACAGCAACAATAAAGAGCTTGTTACCCTTATTAAGGCTGTCTCTGCTAGTAGAGAATCTATAGCTCCTATAGTAATTGTTAAGGCCTTAAGTATTATTAAGAGGTGGTGCATAGAGCTGCCAGATAACTACCTAATTAGCACTAGCAATACTGCGTACAGTAACAATCAACTGTCCTACAATTTTATCCAGCATTTTAACTAGATAACAAAGGATTGTACAAAAGGCGCCTAGAGGATGCTCCTTATAGACAGTTATAAAAGCCACGTTACCTATAAGCTAGTTAAATACGCCTATAATAATAAGATCTAACTATACACGCTCTCTTCTTACACAACTCACTTTCTCTAGCCATTAGATGTAGGCTGCTTCTAGCCTATAAAATAGCACTATAGGCAGGAGCTTAACCTTGCTGCAAGGACTAGTGTAAGCTTGTTTATAAAGACTAAGTTCCTAGCTTCTCTCTATAAAATTAGGTTAAAGACATTTACCTAGTGTACAATCCTAGGCAGTTTTAAGCGTACAGGCATTGTTCCTTTTAATCTAAAAGAAGTGCTCCTAGCTCTGCGTGCACAAGAGAAGCTTACAGAGCGTTAGACTACTAATTATAATCTATTTAATAACCTATTATACCTAGACTCTACCTAAGACTCTTGCAGTAAGAGATTTAAGCCTCTACCTACTAAGAAAGCTTAGCGCCTAAGCTATAATTAATTTAGGCGCTAGAAGGCTAAGTAGAAAGCTTATCACCCCTATACGCCTTTGCCTAGGCCTAGAGATTAGAAGTGGAAGACACTAACAATAATTTATACACTACGCTAGCAGCAAAACGTTGCCCTTGCGTCTATACCTACCCCTTTAAAAGCAGGCATTAAGAAGACCTTTAAAGGTGCTCTTGCGCAGGTGTAAGTAAATGCTAAGTTTAAAAAGGAGCTGCTTTGTACTAAGGCAGCTAAGCAAGCATGTAAGGCTTAACAACAGCACACACAGCGTTAGGTCTCTTAGGGAGGACCTATCTATATAAAAGACGCTCACGTAATAATTAAGCATTGCTAGGATAATAAGCTTAAGCAGGCTACTGCTGCATATGCTGCAAAGTTGCAGCGTGAGCGTACAATTAGGATAAACAAGTTTAAACGCAAGGTTTTTAGAAAAGTGCAAAAAGCAAGCAAAGCATTATAAAAACACTATAACAACAATAAGCCCCTACCTTCTATAGATATAACCTATTATTAATAAAATTATTAGGTCTTAATATGTGCAGAGACAGCTAAGGAGTGTTAAGAGAGGATCTAGCGTAAACAGATTAAAAAGCCTGTAAACAACCCCTTTAAAGAAGACCTTATACTATTAAGCCCTCTAACTAAGGATTTAGACTGTAGGAACTTTAGGAGCGACAGTAAGGTTAATTTAAGTGACTCTAACATGCGCTCTTAAATCTATTATATATAATATACTATAATAATTGTTAAGCTAGGTATGATTGTTGAGCCTGCAGGCCTGCGCTCCGCGCAGGCCTTTTTGCTTGCGAAAAGTTAATTAGTCAACCCGTCGGGGCCTGAGTACTTAATGTAGGTTGTTTTACTTTTTTAAAAAAAGTATATAAGCGCTAAGCTAAAAACCTTATACATAACTAAATTACTTATATTATAAAAATTAAGTTTTTACTATAGTTTAAAGTAGCTTATAATGCTATAATTACTTCTAGTAATATTTAAAAAGAGTTTTAAAGTGCTAAATTAGTTTTTTTTAACTTATAATAAGTTATAATAGGCCTTAATGTAAAGTTACACACTTTATTATTACTACTACTTATATATAATAAGCTCTAGTAGTTATAAACTCTAAGTAATACTTTAAAACTTAAGTTATAATTAATACTTATAAAAATAAAAATTTAAAAGCATATAAATAGTTTACTAACTTTTATAGTTAAAGTGTTTAAAAAGGTTTTAAAGGGGGTAGTAATAATTATGTATAAGCTAGTATTAGTATAATAGAAAATTACTAAGCTTTAAGCAGCTAATAAAGCTGCTATATAATATAAATTATATAAAAAAAAGTAGATTAAAGTAGAAAAAACTTTAATAATTTAAAAAAGCCTACACTTAACAGCTTTAAAGAAGTTTAGAGCGCATAGTAATAGAAAAAAGGTAAAGAAGTAGGTGTAAGCTAAAGTAGGTAAGCTATTCTAAAGGCGCTATAGATAGTGTAATTAGACTAGGCATAACACGCAAATGTGTAAGTAAGAAGTAGAAGTAGTATCTAAATAATATTTTAAGCTATACTATACTATATAGTGCTAGAGTAGGTTGTTATAGGCTATAATAGAGTTTGTTAGGGTAGAGTCTTAGCAAAAGTAAGCAACTTAGGTGTGTAAGCAACTTGCCTGTGAAGTACGTTTTATTACTTTTTTAGTTAAATTAGTTTTTTTAGTAAAGCTTATATTTATTAGAGGTCTTTTAAGACATTATTATAGCAGTATTAGTCCTCTATACTAAGGACTACTAGTTACTTAGTAATTAGCTTATAAGCTTTTAGTCTTATTTTTTATCTTTCTACCTTTATTAAGAGTTTAAGGTAAAGTAGAACTGCTTTTTTTTTTAAGTTAAAGCGTTTTTAGAGCTAGCCTAGAACATTATTAGAGCTTACTTAAAGTAAGTAATAGTTTTAGCATTATGTACAGCGCGCTTAAACTCTAGCTAAGTATTTATAGACTTAAGTAAGCTATTACGCTACATTTTTTTTAAATAGATTCTAAAAAGTAGCTTTATATAAAGGCAAGTTTAATCTTATAAAGTTTCTCTTTATTAGGGGTTTAAAAAGAAGTGTTTTTTAAAAGGCTTTCTTACTAAAATAGCTAGGCAATAAAAGTATTAAATATATTACTTACTTTCTACTTTATATTTTAAAAGTAATAGTAGTTTATGTACTATGTTAAAAGAGAATCTTAGGTAAGCTTACATACTTTAGTTTAAAGCTAAGCCTAGGTTTTAATAGTGCCTTTATTAATAGCATAACTAATTAGGTTTTTATAAACTTTAAACTAGATCTAGTTAATAATTTATTAAGTTTAAGTAGCAAAGTTAACGTACTTCATGGGCGAGTTGCTCACACACCCGAGTCGCTCACTTTTGCTAAGACCCCACCCTAACAAACTCTATTATAGCCTATAACAACCTGCTCTAGCACTATATAGTACAGTACAGCCTAGAATATTATTTAGATACTACTTCTACTTTTTACTTACATGTTTGCGCGTTATGCCTAGTCTAATTGTACTATCTACAGCGCCTTTAGAATAGCTTACTTACTTTAGCTTGCACCTGCTTCTTTACCTTCTTTTTATTACTACGCGCCTTAAACTTCTTTAAAGCTGTTAAGTGTAAGCTTTTTTAAATTATTAAGGTCTTTTTTACCTTAATCTACTTTCTTTTATGTAATTTATATTATGTAGTAGCCTTATTAGCTGCTTAAAGCTTAGTAATTTCTTATTACACTAACACTAGCTTATATATAATTATTACTGCCCTTTTTAAGACCTTTTTAAACACCTTAACTATAAAAGTTAGTAAACTATTTATTGCGTTTGCTAAAAGGTCAACCTTCCAGCTAGCACAGCAGAAGGATATATATAGACGGATAGCTGTACGCGACACACCCCCCAGCTCGAACTGTGGAACGAGAGAGGTGAAACATGGTGAAACAACCTCAACACACCCTTCCTCTTTATCCTAAGCAACAGAACTTAGAGACAGATCCAAATGCAAGGTAGCCTCTGTAATAGGCGCACTGCCTAAATGCTCTTTGCTGAGCGTGGGAATCAAACACGCAGTGCTCCAGGATAATGCGATCCTATTGGTGGAGTAGGGAGAGCAGGGATGCGAAAATTTTTGTGCGCTAACCATCTACACTACGCCGCGAACTGGGCTCATAACTGTTGCGTTTGCCAAAAGGTTAACCTTCCAGCTAGCACAGCAGAAGGATATATATAGACAGATAGCTGTACGCAACACTATTTATATACTTTTAAATTCTTATCTTTATAAGCATTAATTATAACTTAAGTTTTAGAGTATTACTTAAAGTTTACAACTACTAGGGCTTGTTATATATAAGTAGTAGTAGTAATAGAGTGCGCAACTTTACATTAAGGCCTATTATAACTTATTATAGGTTAAAAGAAACTAATCTAGTGCTTTAGAACTCTTCTTAAATATTACTAAAAGTAATTATAGTATAATAAGCTACTTTAAAGCATAGTAAAAACTTTATTTTTATAATATAAGTAATTTAGTTACGCATAAGGTTTTTAGCTTAGCACTTATATGCCTTCTTTAAAGAAGTAAAACAACCTACATTAAGTAGCTATAAAAGGTGTAATAAGTAAAAAAGTATATAAATAGTAATAATTTTATTATTTTTATAGTATTACTAAAAATAAAGTAAGTTATAGCTTTTATAGCTATTAATAACTAGCAGATAGTAGCTACTAACAGTACACTTTTTTATATACACGTTAAAGTGCTTTAACTAGTCTAGACTAAGCTAATTAGTAGTCTAGCTGCACTTAGAGAGTATAATAACTTAATTCTAAAGTAGATTTTTCTTTTTATACTAGTTTAAAAAGTAGTTGCTACTCTAAAAAATAATAAAAAGTAAAATAGCCTACTTTTTAGTATTAATGCTGTAGATAGCTGTTGTCTACTTCTAGTTACCTAGCTAGACTGCTTTTAGCTGTTCTTATCTCTTTAAACTTATAACAACTACTCTAGTAAATATCTAGCTTATTATAAACCTTATTTTATTAAAGTTGTATGTGTTATTATTTTAGATGCTATACTTAGCTTTAATATTCTTTATAAGGTTAAACTAGCCTTAAATTACTACAAAATTTTTATAAAAAGCTTTTTTATAGTTATAGTTATACTTAAACTTTACTTTAAGCTTTAGGTAATACTTAATAAATATATTAAGCTAGTTTATGCTAATATAGCTTATATTATGCTTAGTGTGTAAAGAATTAGCTATATTAGCTACAGCTACTAGCTAGAGGGGAAATCCTTACACATCTAGCTTAAGTATGTGCTAAATAATTACCTACTCTTTATTTTTATTTAGCTTTTATAAGTTAGCTATATAATTAGCTTAGAAAGGTTATCTAGCGCGTTAGTTACTTATTATCTTTTAAAAGACCTTATAGA